TATATATATATTTATATATATGTATATATATTATAAATGTGTATATTAAACACTCGACCATATTTCAGTTGTCAATACGAGTGTTAACGACATGTAACGTAATACGCGCCAAATGTAAAAGTAAAATCGCTTGATCTGAAAAAGTTTAAGTGACATATATGGCAGCTCTCGAGATGTAATATGCTTGTAGAATCGTAGTTTTGCAGAATCACTAACAACAAAAGCAATATTGTTTTTTATTTCATTCTACACCTGATAAACCATTGCGAATTTTTATTCTATTGAATAAATTAATATTTAATAAAATTTACTTACACACACTATATGGTTACTTTTTACGGCTGTCATCTTTTTTCTACGGTCCTACAGTAATTAGTCCACAGAAGTCAGTTTTGTTCCATTGTTTTCGATACGCAATAATTTTGTTCCTGTGGTCCCATGAAGTGGAATTAGCGTAAATAAATCGTCGGTTTACCAATCATACAACTATTTAGACGAAGACAGATGAAGGAAAGTAACGAAAATTGTTTTATGATTGACTATCCGCTTACGTGAATTCCGTTCGATGGGATCAAAGAAACGAAACTTTCGCGCATCAAATACAGCGGAACATCCGCGATTGGTCAGATCTTCAATACGCGCGATCCGCAATGACCGCAATACGCGCGATACGCTCCATGGGACTGCACCCTTATTCTTTAGCTAATATTTTATTATTAAATGCAAATTATCATATTTTTAATATATGTGCATTATTTTTGAGTGATATATGTAAAATATATAAAATATATTATAATTTCAGGAATTTTTAACAAATTTTTCACGTGCGACTAATGAATTCCGTTTACTATTAGCGAATACGTTACTGATATTCGACGCGCATGCGCTAGCGGCTAGAAACGCAGCCCGTCCGGTATCACTATTCTATTCTAGGGAGGCAGGAACCATTTATTAAGGAGAAGGAGAGAAAGAAAGAAAATATATTATCCAATAGGCAAATATAGGAGTATTATGTGATTGTGATTTATGTCATTGTCTGACATCTCACATTAATACACCGAAAAATGTCGGCGATGTTAACTGCCGATTGGTTTCCTCTGGGACGAGACGTATACTTTCGGTAAATTTATCATACTCTGATAAATTTATATACATATTTTTTGACAAATACAATATGTTTACATATTTAAGTTTTGTATTTTTGATATACACAGTCTGACATTGTTTTGATGCATTGGCTACATTCAACATAGAAAGAAGCTTTGTGCAATTTGTAAATGTATAAATCATATATACTATACATATATATATATATTTTTTTTATATCAAAATTATAAATCGTTTTATTAAAGACTCACAATACTTGCAAAGCTGCTTTCTGCTGAACGTAGCTACTATTATTAACAGAATGTTACTTATTTTTATTTCAGCAAATTTGAGCTGTATCCGATATCCTTCCAACATGAGATTTCCAGCAACAACTTGATTGTTGCAGCTCCATATGGAGGCTCCATTGCTGTAACGAGAAACCCCAAGAAACTTGTCAAGATTCAAGGGGCTAGCAAACCTTTAATATTGCTGTATACATCATCAGGGAAATTGACAGCCAAATTGCAAGTAAGATCTCTTTGGTTTGACAAAAACCAAATTTGTGACTTGAATTATGATATTTTTTACCTTTGTTTCTTATTCTTTGCTTAATTATCTATTAGTGGAGCAGTGGCCAACTGATATCGTTTGGCTGGTCTCAGCAAGAAGAATTGTTGTGCGTGCAAGATGATGGTATGGTTCTCATATATGACATGTTTGGAACTTATCAGCATACCTTTAGCATGGGAAATGTAAGTTAACTGAGATATGAAAATCATATGAGATGTAAATCTTTATATCTCATATGATTTTGTTTTATATTTTAATCACAGATATTTATTTTGACGACTTGATTCATTTATAACATAGTATTATATTGTTTTATTTGTACTTTATTTATTCCTTTTATTTTTATTGTGTATCTGACCTTAAATAATGATCTCATTAAAATTATAATTTTTGCTTTTCGTTAATTTATTTTATTTAATACATGTTCTATTTTTAAAACAAACTATTATTTGATAGAACTCTCGAAATTCAAAAGTACATTATATATTAATTTGATGTATAGGTAATAAGAGCATCAATACAGCGCAGTAATTTATAGCGTAAATTTCTAATCATATTTTCAAAAAATGTTATATATAATGTTAATACAAACGTTAATACTTAAACATTTCAGTTTTTTTTAAATCATCTTCAGCAGTATAGTAGATAATTGATATTGTTAATTAAATTCATAACCCATAATTGGAGAGTAACTTCTATTGTAGACTGAGAATGAGCATATATGTCTCTACTTAATGGTGAATTGTCATATTTATCTCTTTGTTGTTTAACTGACTAAACTGAAAAGTAAAATAATGAATGTTATTTAATTTCACTCGTTTTTGCTTTCTACTCACTCTTCGCCTCAAATTACATTGAATTATTAGAAAGTAATTCGTCATAATACAATTATTTGATAAAATTTAATTTTACAATAAATAAAAAAATATACGCAGTGATGGTATAATTAATTATTCTTAGCTAATGAAGACTGAATATAATTAAAACAAATTTCTTATAAGAATTAAAACATTACATTTATAATAACATACTTATGCCTGTTATTTAGCCCTCATTTCATATTCTCTTTTATTGTTTTGCAAGAATCAAGCTTTGAGTTCGTTATATTAATTTTAAATTATAAATACATTATTCTTTCTTTTCAAGGTAGCCAAGGATACCAAAGTTGTCGACGCAAAGTTTTTCACAACATCTAATAGCACTGGGATAGCTGTTTTAACGTCCACCAATCGTATATTTCTAGTAAACAACGTGTCTGAGCCTAAAGTCCGACCAATTACTGATGTACCAAGTAAATATAATATATAAATTAAGAATAGGACTCTAAGAGTAAATCTACGAATCTAAGAGGGATTAAAAAGTCAATTAAATGTCTACGCGGTTATTGATGCGGAAAAATTATTTATTTACTCATCTGAAATAATCTGCATATGTTTCAACCAACATTTTCGGTTCTTTTCAATGCGAAAACATTAAATTAACTAAGTAATATATTATAAACTATAAATTATGCAATACATAATATATGAATCGTTTTGTCACGAATTGAAATACAAAAAGTCTGAGGTCATTTGTTAATACGTTATATTATATTCTTCATTGTATATCATTTTTATATTTTTCATTTTATTATATATTTATATATTCGTTTATATATTTATTAAATTTCTGTCAATGCAATTGTTACTTCTAGGATATCCAATTGATTGCTGGTACATGGTACATTGCGAAAGGGAGACACAAGCGATTTTGTCAAATAGAGAAGGAATATTTGTAATTCATCAGTCTCATCAGAACACTTTTTCATTTGTGAGCATAATATTGTATTCACAATGTTATTATAATTTACATGACGTAAATTCTTATGCATTTAAAAACAGCTAATCCAGGCTACTTTAATATATTTCTTAGAGCAGTCTATTCAACAATAAGATCAATAGTGTGATAGCGATAGCTGCGTCCAGCAACAATCGCCATATTGCGCTTTATTCCGATACTGGACACTTGTATATCGGTTCAATAGATTTCAGAGAGAAATATTGTGAATGCTATACAAATGTGAAGGAATCTCTAACGAATATAGCTTGGTCGGTAAAGATAATATATATATATATTTTTTTTAATTAAGTCTAATGAGAAATATAAAGAATAGTGGATAAAATGGACTGATTTTTGTTCTTGGAGTAACAAGTAATGGTTTTTTTTGTCATAGGTGTGGTACAGAAGCCGTGGTATGCAGCTGGCACAGTACGATAATGGTAGTAGGACGTATGGCTGATACTATAGTATACAATTATGATGGTTCAATACATTTAGTTACGGAAATCGACGGAGTACGCGTGTTATCGAACAGTTCCCATGAAATGATTCAGAAAGTACCAAATGTCGTGCAAAGAATATTTAGAATCAACTCGACGGATCCTGCATCCTATCTCTTAGAAGCCTCTAAACAGTTTCAAAAGAAGAGTCACAAAGCTGATAGTTATATAGACTTGGTGAAAGATAAACTGGATTCGGCAATAAAGGCATGCATCGATGGTGCGAGTCATGAATTCGATTTCGAAACACAAAAAATTCTGATGAGGGTAAATATATTGAGAGAAAAACGTATGTTCGTCAAAATCAAATTATTTGATATTGTCAATTTTTTATTAGGCTGCCAAATTTGGAAAAGGATTTAGCAAAACGATAGATTCGGAGTATTATGTTCAAATGTGTAGGATTTTGAGAGTCTTGAATGCAGTGAGGCATCCTGTTGTGGGCATTCCGTTAACGTATGCGCAGTATCCTTTTTTTTCAGTTGATACTATGCAAAATATTGTATAATCTTTTGTATAATTATTGCAATATATTTCTGTAGAAATCTCTCCTTAATGATACTAGATTTAATATTCTCACGAATCAAGTGTTGCTAGACCGACTAGTAGCACGAAGACATTATTATTTGAGCATACAAATAGCGCGTCACTTGCAGTTACCCGAGATAGATGGGGAAAGTAGAATATTAGCACATTGGGCTTGTTACAAAGTAAGATAAATAATATGTAAAGTGGTGAAATTTTACGTGCAAATTGGATTAACAAATATATTTTTCTTTTCTACTTTGTAGGTGAAACAAACGCAGTTAGATAAGGAACAAATAGCAGAGGAAATTGCTGATAAATTAGGATACGCACCTGGTGTTTCGTATAGCGAAATTGCAAAAAGAGCAGCGGATTGCGGACGAAAACAATTGGCGATTAAAGTAAATCTATTTATATAAATATTAGGTTGTTCGGAAAGTTTTTATTTCAATTTTGAGAATCTTGAATGCATTCTACCTCAAAATTGTACATCTTAGTAAAAAAAATGAACGAAATTTAAATTTAAAAAAAGTTTAAAGTTTGAAATCTCTACTTTTGAAAGATTAGTATATTTTTTTAGTTTCTGTGAGTTTTAGTAATTTTTACATATAAAAAACTACGAGCTGAAAAAAAAGGAACAATTTTCTTATTACTTTGTGGGTCTTTTCCATATGTCCAAAAAAATTTGCGAAAATTTTCAACTATCTTTCGTGAAAGCTATAGTGTTTTGAAAAGATCTTAAGAAGAGCTATAATAATATGCAATAAAATCTAGGAGGTTCTATTTAAAAAATTCAAAATGACCTCATCTTGATCGTGGCAACGCCATCCAATGTCAAACGAATATAACCAGATCTTTTAAACTGTACAACTTTTGACTGAAACATTTTTTTCATATCTTTTATAATTTTTGATATTTCGGTGTCAAAAGTTAAAATGAGACACCCAGTAATGCACACGCACACACGTACTTTACCACGCAAAGGAGAACTATTTATACTATTAGCGTCTTTTCAGTTAATCGATTATGAACCACGAGCGCATCAACAAGTACCTTTATTATTGACACTTGGCGAGGAACGTGCTGCCCTGCATAAAGCCGTAGAAAGCGGTAATACGGATCTAGTCTATACTGTCATTCTTCATCTCAGAGAAAATATGACACTTGGCGACTTTCAAGTAAGCAATGATATTTTGTTCCAAGGATACATAATTACGTGCTTTTTACAATTAATCTTTAATGCAGATGTCTATAATGCATTGTCCTCTAGCAATGGCATTATATATCAAATATTGTCAGAACCACAATAGAGAGACATTGCGTGATATTTATAATCAATACGACGATTTTCATTCGCAAGCAGTGTGGTTTATCACTGAGAGTTACCAACGAAAAGTTAGTAGTTAATATTTTTGCATTTATAATTGAAAACTTTTTTTGTAATACAAAATTTGAAATAAATAATGCCACATATTTTTAGAATACAATGTCGAGAGACGCATTACTGCAATCGGCTCAAGAAAATTTTAGATCGGCTCGTAATGATACTAACGCGTCGTTAACAGAAGAACAGATAAAACTCTTGAAATATCAGAGATCTTTAGAGGATACGCTACACGAATCAGTCGTGGGAAAGCCTTTGCATGATACCATGAGAATATTATTATTGCGTAATGAGTTAAAATTGGCGGACAAGTTACGATCGGAGTATAAAATACCAGATCGGAGGTAGTGTGTATTAATTTTTATAACTTAGTGAACTATGTACATTGTCAATGAAATAAAAAGGCAATTAAGAGTCAATATTCATTGACAATTTTTTAATACTAAGAGTCCTGTATATTCGTTCTATTTTATGTATATTGTCTTATATAAGTAATATTTTAATGCAGATATTGGTGGCTAAGAATACAATGTTTAGCAGAACAAGGTTTATGGAATGATTTGGAAAAGTTTTCTAAAAGTAAAAAGTCTCCTATTGGCTATGAGGTAAGATCAGTAAATACATTGTTTTAAACTCTAGAACTTTTGTATGAAATATTTCTTTCAGCAATGTTTATACTTTACAAAATATTTAAGGGCTCCGTTGTTAATCAGTTAACATTTTATATAATTCACATTTGATTTTCATTAAGGAGAATATTCAAGTTTTAATTTAAATTTCAGTTTATCTCAATAAATTCTTTTTCGCTGAATTTTATCACTATTGAAAAATATTAAAACTGTGCTAAAATTTAATGATCCTTTTTTTTTTCGAGTAACACAATACTTATGTATGCAGCTATTCGTTTGTCGATGTGATGAAATAATGTTTTCACAATTTCCATGTTTAAGCCGTTTATAGATGAATGCCTAAAGTACAACGAAAAATTAGAAGCGAGAAAATATTTAACCAAAGTTAAAGATGATCTCAAAGTCAAGTATTTAGTGAAGTTAAAGTAAGTACTTGAAAAAATATATTTTCTTTAAAGAAACATAAATAAGATTTACATATAAGAATATAACTATCTACTATAATTCTGCAGTTTGCTTAGCGAAGCAGCACAAACAGCGTATGAACAAAAAGATGCTTCGGCTCTCACATTTGTGCTGGCACAATGCGGATCATCAGACAGACAATTCGTAGATAAAATCAATATGTTACTAGCTAGTCTTAAAAATTAAGGTTTTTTATTTGTTTTATTAGAGATAAAAGTATTTATATACAATTCAGATAATATAAAACTTAACATCTGACACGAACGGTGATCTTAAAAATAATTTTACAGATCAGAGAATGTTCAAGACGTAACTTACATAGCTCTAATAAATACATTAAACATTTATTTTAAAAAATATATATCTCGCTCTGTAATTAATAAAAAAATTTAATCTGTTCAGACATTCCGTTTGTTATGTAATCCGTACAAAAATATGAATGTATATCTGCTGTGCAAAATAATAGTATTTGTAACTAAATTCTGTACATTTATATTGCTTTATAATGCTGATATATATGTACAATATAATAGTATATACTAAACCTGAGTATCTATCTTCCATTATCACCATTGTAATATAATTTATTTACTTCCAAAATGCAGATTTTATATATAAAATTGAAAACATATTTTATACAGCTAAAAACATATTTATCAACTAACTTTTTTGGACCATATAATTACTTTATATGCTTCTCAACGAGATCCCTTACGATTAATTGTTCAATTTCTTCACCATTATCTAGCTGTTCGTTTGTAAGAGACAAAACATAATTGGTTTCCTTGCTTACAATAATCACTTGTTGCTTTCTAGTTTGCAACATGTTGGCTATTACAAGCTGAAAGACATTCCCATCAAAATTTAGAATTATTTTACAGAAAACTCAATTTCATTACTTACATTATGATGATACTTGTTAAGGGCAGTCCTCGCTTTAGAAATTAGCAAATCTTCATCAGTTTCTAATTTAAATGAAACTACAAATGCTTTCGGTACCCACAAACTGACTAACGGAGCTAAAATTTTTGGTACTAATTGAAGAGATATAGTTGGAGGTCCACTCGAGGAAATTTTATGGACCGACTGAAAGAAATTTTATATATAAAGTGTGTATCGTAAAGGCCGTAACAATGCTTAAGAGTAGATTTCTGAGATTATTTTCAAATGAAAATCCTCATGTAAGAATGTCAAGGCCATAATAGTTTTTGAATTAGAAACACTTAAAATTAGCGAATCTCTCTCTCTCTCACCAACAGTTCACGCTTTAAGGTAAGTAGGTAAATGCCAAAATACCTAGACAGCCTCAGAGAGACTGTCAAATATTTTGTGTACTGATAGAACACACTAAATTGAATCGAAAAATCTGCTATCATTTTGCAATATTCGCAATAATTAATAAGATATTAATTTAAAAAAAAAACGTCGAATATTGGTTTTCAGTAACTTTTTACTCAAATATTATCAACTTTACAGAAAAACAGTAAACGACAAAAATTGTTTATTTTTTCTCATAGAGCTTAAAAAGGTTTTTTTTAAATTTCTTATCAACTTTTTAATAGTATATTTTCTTACTGGCAACTATTTTTACCAATATGAAAAAATGCAATACTAAAAAATTCTGAAAAAATTCTCTCTATAAGAAAAAAATAAACAATTTTTATCACTTGCTGTTTTCCTGTTGACAGTACTTGAGTAAAAAATTATTAAAAATCAATATTCGCTGATTTTTAGTAATTAATATCTTATTAACCATTGCGAAAATTTTGTAAGATAATAGAGGACTTTTCGACTCAGCTTAGTTTGCTACCAGCATACGAAATATTTGGCGGTAATTCTGGGATACTCTGTATATCGTAATAAAGTAATGGAATACATTATATTTTTTAAATGAGACGAAGTTTTATGTGTGAATGATATATCTACCATTTCATTGGAAGGAATGTAAAAATCCGAGACCGCTGCTGCTAAATATAATATAGCTTTGTTCTCCAGAGGTGCTAATGCTTGACAAGCAGATCGCAGTAGCCAGAGATACTCGGAGAAAGTTGTAAAAGTAAGTTGTAGTAATTTTGTTTGATTAAATGCCTCTCTATACTTTCGCAATACTGTTGCTACCTTCTGTGTATATTCTGGCAGTACTGAAAAAAACAATATAATAATAACATTTAATCAATGCGAATTAAAAAAGTAAGATTATAGTTAATTATTTTTCGTAACTTACCTGTAATAATAGGATTTTCATTATTGTCTGATATTTGAAGCAAGTCTAAAAATTTCTGTCCTACAAAATGTCTCGAGAATGGTTCTAAAGATTTAACTCTGAAAATGTAAAAAAGAGTTTATGCTATAAAGAGTTGAAGATAGTATGGCAAATAAGGCACTTGTTTCATAAAAAAAAAATTGAAAAAAAAAGCAATACAAATTTTTATATATGTTAATTTAGTTGTTACTAACGGTGACTATAATCACTTGCCGTTGAATGTTTACTATACATTAGATTAAATGAAAATGAAATATATAATGATAAAAATTGTGATAAAATATGTGATTCACAATTTTGTGGCTATCAAAGAGAAAAATATTACTTTAAATAAAACAATACATTTCTTATGAATTTATACAAGAATTAATATTATCTATATAAATAAAGAAAATATATTATACACATTTTTACTTTACTGTAAATCTATTATCTATATTTCGTTCTCATTTATAATATACGCACATAATTTGTATGTCATGTCCCGTACATGTGATAGTATGTCTTATTAAATGAATGTTTAATTATCAAATATTACGTTAATTAATATCAGATTGGCAGCAAAAACCAAATAGGAGCTACAAAATCTTGTTCTGTTTCTGCTGCCAATCTTCTGGCAAAACATATCAGTAAGTTTCGTCCTCCCTACTGAAAAAAAATCATATCACAAAAATATATAATGAAACCATGTAATTAAAACAAATAAATGACATAATGACAAATTATTCCAAATCAGTACATAATTTTTTAAAATTTGAAAAATGATATATTAAAAATATTTTCATCTATTATTTTATAAAGTTATCGAATTTTAAATAATTAAATGATAGAAATAGAAGAAAAGAATGTATCATTGTGTAATTTTTCAAATTGCGTGATTTCAAAAATTTTCAAAAAAATTTTTTTAATTATGTGATAGGTCCACACAATAACAAAAAAATTTAATTTTAACCTGCTCATAGTTGCCTACATATAAAAATTACCAAACTCACAGAAACTTAAAAAACAGCGGCCTTTTAGAAATAGAGATTTTTAGTTTTAAAACTTTTTTTAAATATAAATTTTATTCATTTTTAATAAAGTTACGTTGCTATTAATAGTAATACAAAAATTGAACATTTCATACTTAATAATCTAATATTACCTATGCATAAAAATAACTGCATATCCATACTCTAAGAAGTATTCTGCTGAAACCGAGCCTCTTGTCCCTGCACTGAAATTGTCCACAAATCTCACTGTATTGTGTTCCAAGGGTACTGTCGTACCACCACTCTGTAAGTAAATGTGTCACAATTCAAATTAAAACGTCGTAGAAACATTGCATGTATTATAAATTTTGAATTTCTGTAATTCACTCTAGCTCTAGTTTAAGTAATAATAAAAGAAAGAAAGATCAATTAAGATCAGAAAATCAGATCACAATTTAAAAGTAGTTATGTTTACATTATTACTTCTTTTTTATGATATAAAATTAAGAAGGAAATGTTTTGTCTTCACTTAGTCATCATCAGTTCCAGAAAAATAATAATGGAATTAATAGATAAAATTCATATAATGAAATAATATTTTCGAACATTTTATTATGTAAATTTTAACTATTACTTTTGTTATTATTTTTTATTTAAGATGGTTGATGACTAAATGAAGTCAAAATGTTCTCCTCTCACAATTACATATCGTAAAAAAACTAGTAATAACGTTGTGAACTTATTGATAAACTAGTTTTAAATTGTGATCTGATTTTTTGTTCTTATGCCTAATTTTTTAACCTCTAGATATAACTTTATCCAGGAGATATCTTCCAAAATACAATGGAGATATCTCCTGGATAAAGTTTTCTGCATTTATTTGAAAGGGAAGAAATTGGGCATAATAAAAAATTGACCTTTCTTCCTTTCATTATTGCATATGTATAATATTAAATTCTGAGACTCACCGTCACCAATACCACTTTATTACCGGCCTCAAGATGCTTCCTGGTGAATTCCTTCAATGCCTGTTCGTTCTGCGCCAAGTCTTGAGGGGGTGGATGCTTTGCATAGAAATCTTCCCATGTTGAGACCATCGTAAATAGCTGCGACTGAAAAGAACTGCTGTATGAGGAAACGATGAAAACTCGATACATATCACTAATTTGCGACTACAAGAAAATAATAAATTGAAATCATTAAAATTTTAGAATATTAATTTTGAAGTATAATTTCGGTATAACGATTGATTGCAGAGGAACTTTCGTTCCTCTACAAGTTTTCTTTTTTTAAGCGATTCGAAAGTGACAATTTTCGATGTCCTTTTTATAGCAAATGAGAGATATATTTTTTCAGGGTCTTATATAATATATAAACTTATCGAGGTTACCGAATATATTATTCATTTTATTACGTATTATTAGCGATATTTTATAAAGTATCCGTCTCTGCAATAACTTCACGCCAAGTGCCAATTGAGTACGAACGTCAACTGTTGGAAGCAAAAAGAAAATGAAAAACGATTACTAACCTCGAATCTCAATGGGTATCTTTTTCCTAAAACGTATCAGTTTAACTTCGATCGTCGATCAGCGTTTTACAAGCAACAGTATGTCCTCATATAATATAATTCTAATCCTTCTATAATATAATTATCCAAGTGACACGATATCACACTTTTCCGAAAATTCCTTCTTACAGAAAAAAAAAATCTTCGAGTGTTCCACGATAAATTCATGAATCTGTCATTCCTTTTCGTTTTGTTTATATATGTATATATAAGTAAAAAACATGATAAAATATATATATTTATAGTCAGATCTTATATTTAAGGCTTTCTTCATTAAATTTATCTTTAGATGCTCAGTAGCTAATAAAATAGTTTGAATATCATCTAAAGATAAGTTTGAGGAAGCCTTCAATATAAGGTCTGACTATGAATACAGGCAAAACTTTTGTAGGATAATATAAAAGGCCACTGATTTAACAACATTATATTAGTAGAGGAAAACAAAATGTATTTTCTGTATCTACATCACTTACATGCGAGATAGCCTTTATTAAATATCAAACTTTCTCTCAAACAAAAAATTAAATTACATAATTTATATATATTCAATAATGTTAAAAGTAAAATTAAATTAATCTCCTTCCGAGATTAATTTAGGACTGCTGCGCTCCTGTTATTTGGTCATAAGAACAATAGTATTGCTCAGAAATGAAAGTTTTCAAAGGTAGCAATTTATATAACAGTTTATTCCTATAACAAATACTAGTTTACATATTGCTGCTCAATACTCTGGCGCCGGGCTCTTCGCATTAGTAATTTCATCTCTTGTTGCATAGAACTGTAACAAGACACAAAAGTGAGCACATACAGGAGCTGCTTTCTGAACAATTGATACATTTGGAATTATTCTAAGCTTACTTTGGTCAATCGTATTTCAGCAGGCTTACTCTGTAACTCTTAATGCAAGTTTCATTATTGTTGTAAATTATAACGCCACTGCAAAGCTTTTGCACCATAATAAAAGAGTTGCACTGTAGTGCCTTCATTTAAGTAGTAGTAACATTATTGCACAAGTATTTTATGGTATAAAAAGCTATGCAACAATGTTGTTACTGTCTTAACAAGTTACAGAATAGGCCTGCAAGATGGAATTCTATTTATATACAATTTCACACACATATGTGTGTGTGTGTGTGTGTGTGTGTGTGTAAACAGAGAAAATTGTAAATAGAATTATATCCTGAATTTTGACATGGATCATCCGAAATAAGCTTGGAGTGACAAAACAGCAATTGTCACACTCAGAACCTTATATTGCTTATCCTTATAGGCATTCCATGGTTCAGCCTCCTTCTTGTTTAGCCAAGAAACATCAGGACTTTGGAACGCCAAGCGTGCCGTGTAGAAGAACGCACCAAAGGCTCCCAGGCCTAAGCAGAAATAAATTGGGAGCAGCTAGAAAAGAAGGAAAAAAGAGGATATTGAGTGGAGTATTGCAACATTCCGTAATGCAAAGTAAACTATGAGTTTGATGCTCACAGTTGGGTGCTTCCTCATACTCTTCAAACTCAATCCTTGCATTTTGATGTTCAGTGAGAATATCCGTGCAATTCTATAAAACAAATCAGACGAATGTACTTCAAGCACTATTCTTTGCAAAATCCAGCAGCACCCAGCAAGGACATCAGATTTGGTCAGATTCTATGGTCTAGTTTACATCGTACTCTAAAAATGGATACTATCTAGTAACTTTTTATGTAAGGTGCTACGCAGAATAAAAGAAACAGAAAACAGAGAATAAGAATTTCAACCTATCAGAAATCATATATTGTGGAATAAATAGTGTGTATTCCACAGTATATGATTTCTGATAGGTTGAAATTCTTATTCTCTGTTCCCTGTTCCTTTTATTCTGCGTAGCCCTTATTGTTATTCTCTGTTCTCTATTCCTTTTATTCTGCGTAGCTTTAAACAATAGGCACAGGCAACAGGGAATAACGAGCCGTCCAATCAGAACTCTGGGATATAATATTGAACTTATATCTCAGAGCTCTGATTGGATGGCTCCTTATTCCCTGTTGCCTGTGCCTATTGTGTTTTTAGCTTTATATCCTAGAGCTCTGATTGGACGGATCATAATTTCCTATTGACTATGCCTATTGCCTGTGCCTATTGTGTTTAACCTTTAAGCGGGGAGCACAGACTTTTGCATAACGCATAAACCATATACATAAAGAATTTTATTGGTTCATTTTCTTATGCATAAGTCAATGAACCAATCAAATTCTTTATGTATATGGTTTATGCGTTATGCAAAAGTCTGTGCTCCCCGCTTTATTCTTCTTCTTCTTCTCTAGACCCTGAAAAGGTAAAGCCTAATGCGTGGTCTACAATGGCAGTAGTAGTAGTGAATGAGACTGAAGAGTAAGAAATTGACCAATCACAGTCGAATATTCTCCTCATATTTGACTGTGATTGGTTAATTCTTACAACTATAACCAGATACAACTACGCTTACGTAATTGTAGAATGGGCTTTGTGCCTGGTTTATGGGCCTTCTGCAATAAGCCATAAGTCATAAATCGGAAGTAAGAAACTAAAAATTGACAACTGTGATTGGTCCATTTCTAGCTTATAACTTATGATTTGTGACTTACGACTTATTGTAGAAGGCCCATTATGCTTCAGGCTTAATCCCAAGATCCTAAAATTCAACCAATAAAGCTGCCAGCTCTAACCGAAATTTGAACTCTATTGGCTGAATTTTAGGATTAAGACCTTAAGACCGAAGCATAAACCAGGCATTACTGTGATTGGTCAATTTACTTACTGCTTACGTCTTACTACCTTACCTTTTTTATGTGCCATGCCTTTATCTGTCAAGAATCTCAACTCAAAATATAAATCGATTCCCTTCTACAGGTACAAAAAAACCTTTAATAAGCAGATGTGTATCAGTGCATCAAGTGTGATTAAGTGCATAGAGTTTTATTATATTTGTCAACTGAGAAGCCGTTGCTAGCGAGTTAACCCACATTCGTGCTGATTCATACGATCTGGAGATCTGCAAGTTCACTAAGAGGTTTTTTAAACGGCTCGGTTGGTTTCTCTCGAGCCCGTAAGTATCATCATTATTAACTACTGTATTATATTATTACGATCATTGTGTGATGTATTCGATGAAATATTTCCAATTTTTAAAACAGTTCAAGAAAATTAAAGTGATTTGATAATTTCAAAGTTTCATTAAAAGATATAATTTTTTCTCATTTTACTTCTCAACGTCTTTTGTATTTGATAAGTAAACAGAAATATAGAAGTTTATTATATGCCAACGAATGAAATATAAGAATGATAAAAATTGTTGCATGACATAAATAAAAAAAAGATAATATAAAGGAGAGATGGAAACTTATGCAGTCGGCAAAAATGATTTCTTAAGGTTAAAATATTTATCAAAAGTTTAGAATGCTTTTTGTAGCGTAAAAATTAATAAATCTAGCATATTACTGAATCTTCAGATAGTGAAGCCTGCAGATATAAACGTTGAGCAGAACATGCTACCAATTTTTGATTGCAGAAGGGTAACAAATTGTATACAGAGTACTATCTGACAATGTCAGCCTACTGTCAGAAATAGGACAAAGCCAGCTGACATGCTATGATAGTAGATTGATAGGCAGTAATTGAACAAAATCTTGCATGCCATATTGAGAGCAGATTAAATCAGAACCTGAATCGAGCAGACTTTGCTCAGTTTCTGTTATCCATTTTCTGGCATAGCCTATCAGCAGCCTTTGTCGATAAATCCACAGCCAAATGTGGACACAGATGGCTATGGTTTTGTAGTCAAAGTCTAATCAAGCTTGCTACCAATTTTTCTGTAAATTGCTATCAGAGTTCTATAACTGTTTGAACAACGTTTTGTGGAAGAGAGGAAAAAAACAACAAAATTTTGGCCTCTTTCCTGTCTACCATATATATGTTTTCTATTTTTGTCAGGTGGTTTGACATGTCAAATCCTTCAGAACGCATCAGTTATGTACAAGACAGCAGCAGTGATACAGAGACTGATTACAAGGAGACTGATGGAAGCATACTGCATCGCTTCTACAAAAATAGACTGAGGTAATTCATGAATTTTCTTATTTCAATTTTAATTACTCAATTTTAGATTCTGCAATATAGAGAATGTTCATGGAATGATTTTACATAAATTCACAGCAAAGAATTTATTACTATTTACATTGTATGTTACAAAACAAGGATATCATCATTAACACTTAAGAAGTTGAGAAGTCAAGTTAGAGTCTAATGTTTTATTTAAGTTTATATGAACCGAAAGAAACTAGCTCTGGTTTTAGTTACAATATCTTAGATTTTTCGGCATGCACTTAGCTCTTACAAATATTCATTATATATTTGCATGCAAGTTATTCTCTATATATAAATTTACATGTATTAGCTTGTTTGGAAAGTTCGTTTCAAATTTTCTAGCTCAAAATAGTATATTGTACATTAAAAAAATTAGCGATTATGCTATTCGATAGAGGTAAGTTTTTGCTTTAAAAATCTGATTTTTTAATTGCGGTACAGTGATTTTTAATTATGTTATATAACAATTAAAATCAAAAATTTCCTTTATTTAACTCGCGAATAACTCAAGAAAAAAATCGTAGGAATATTTAAAAAAAATGATTTTGTAGGGAAAGCTTTAAGCTTTCATGATAAATAATCGAAAATTTTCTCTAATTTTTTGGGGCACGTGAGAAAAAACGCACAAAGTGAAAAGAAAATTTTTCGTCTTTTTCAGTTCGTAGTTTTTTATATATAAAAATTACCACATTCACAGAAATTAAAAAAAATATAGTAATAACCTTTCGAAAGTAGAGATTTCAAGCTTCAAAAATTTTTAAATTTAAATTTTATTCATTTTTTTAAAGATGTTATATATAAAATTTTGAGCTGGAAAATTGAAACAAACTTTTCGGACAACCTAATATTATTTTGCCAATTATCAAAACATTCTTTAAATTCTCATAAAGCTTACATAAATGAAGAAAGTGCTTAATATACACATTTAAATTTTGTCTTTAATATTTATATTTTGACTTATATATAAATATATACATACGTATTATCATATATATTATAAATATATAATTATATTTGAGCTCATATACAGCGTGTCCCAAAATGATCGTCAAATATTTCGTGTGCTGGCAGAACAGACTAAACCGACAAGTAAGTCGAAAAGATTTCTATCATTTTGCAATCTTTGTAATAGTTAACAAGACATTAATTGTTAAAAATCGCCGAATATTGATTTTTAATCATTTTTTACTCAGCTACTATTAACTTTATAGAAAAGCAGCAAAAGCGACAAAAATTGTTAATTTCTTCTCATAGATTTCTAAGAATTTTTTCAGAATTTTGTAATACTGCATTTTCTTTTACTGTTGGTAAAAATAATTACCAATAAAAAAATATAGTATTAAAAAGTTAATAAAAAATTCTTAAAGCTCTATGAGAGAAAAAATAAATAATTTTTATTTCTTGCTGTTTTTCTTTAAAGTTGATAGTAATTGAATAAAAAATTATTAAAAATCAATGTTCTGCGATTTTTAATAATTAATATATTGTTAAACATTGCGGAAATTGCAAAATATGATACAGAACTTTTCGATTAGTTTAGTCGGTTTAGTCTATTCTACCTGCACACACGAAACATTTAACGGTCATTCTAGGATATTTTATATATCCTACAATATACAATGTACATAAAAAGTAGGACTAAAGTTAAATATTATGTAATATAAGGAAACCAGCAATATATGTTGTCAAGATCATGATATTGATTGATCTTCAGAAAATTTTAGCTGTAGTTCGATGTTTATTAAAAAGCTATTAATAATTAAGTTGATTTAAATTAAATTATTTTTTCTAATATTTTTAACAGTAGTACAATATTATTTGCTATATTTTGGGTTGAATCTCGCTTTGTGTTGAAAGTTGTAAACCAATATGTAATCTTACTTCGCGTTGTAAATCCGATAGGACACTTATCCTACCGAATATCATATATTTCATCGAATATCCTACTGGACATCTGAAAAAGATTTGAAAAAAAGGAAAAATAGCGATAATAATTTTCTTTATTTTCCCAATGTGACAAGAAAAAGAGGAAAAATTAATGTACAACAAATTTAGCTCTAAAAGAATAAAATTCTGCATTAATGACGCAAAATATGAATATAAATTTTTAACAGCAACAGAATTCCAAACAACACACAATATTTATAAAATATTTGTAAAAATATTTTTAAGATTTATTTTTAATATTTCATAAAAATTTTTGTTTTCTTAGATTGCACAGATCATAAATATTTATTATAAATATCATGAAATATTTATTGTAAACGTTGCAGTAAATTCTATAAAAATACTTAATAAGACATTATAATTCATAAGTAAGAAATACTTATATTAGAAATATTTAGTCTATGTTTTAATAATATTTCGAATAAAGTTTTATAATAATATGTAAAAATAAAATATGTATTTAAAACATTTAACAAAGAATGAATAATAATAAATATTTTATAATAAATTTTCTATGCTTTCTAGGATATACTATCGGATACCAATGATATCCGGCTATTCAGACTGATATAAAAAAGTTTCGGATAATGCCGGA